GTGGGGGGGGGGGGGGGGGCGCAGGGAGGTGTGAGATATTCCCCAGATAGGAAGTTGCCAACTGTAAATCCCCAGATCCGAGTGTCAGAGCAAAGGCTGTATTTCTGCAAAATCCTTGCTTAAGCTGTCCTCCATAACTGCATTTGTCAACACTTTGAAAATCCCTAATCTTAATACCCTGAGTTACTCTCTCTGTTTAAAGAGGTAGGTTTTCAAAGTCCACAGATTTAGGGTGCACAGAGCTGTCATTTCTTTATGGTGACAGTACTTCTTTTGTGTTTCTAGGTGATATTAAATACTAGAAATGTTGCAAAAGCACCTCCGAGGGCATGTTCAAATAGGATGTGACCATTAGCGGTCAACACAATTTAATGAGTCATAACTGGCATTTTAAAAAACAAGAGCCCTAGCTGGTTTGACTCAGTGGATAGAGCATTGGCATGAGGACCCAAAGGTCCCGGGTTGATTCTGGTCAAGGGCACATACCTTGGTTGCAGGTTCCCCGGTCCTGGTCGGGGTGCAGGCAGGAGGCAACCAATTGATGTGTCTCTCTCACACAGATTTTTCTCTCTGTCTCTCCCTCTCCCTTCCAATCTCTCTAAAAATCAATGGAAAAATTACCTCGGGTGAGGATTAACCACTCCCCCCTCAAAAAAAACAAAAAACAAAAAACAAGATAGAACACAATCACAGAGCATTACATGTAATACAAAAGTATTATTTTATGAAACTTGTTATTTAATGTGTATGCATTCATTCAGATTATATATGTATACATATGTCAGTGTGGATTGTGTCATATAATCTGTATTTTATTGTGGGTTAGCATTTAAAAAGTTTGAAAGTCACTAAGAAAAAAAGATTAGGTTACAAAAATGGCTGACTTCTACCTTGTACTCTCTCACTTGTCTGTTCTGTGGGAAGCTAGCTGCATGTTATGAGCTCCCCCATGGAGAGGGCCTATATCTATTGAGAAACTGAGCAAGGTTAGATGCAGACCAACCTCAAGCAAGCATACAGGCCAGACCAATTTCAGCTGACACTTTGCAACTGTTTGAGACATATTTTTTGGGTTCTAAAATTTTATGTAAATGAATTAACACAATATGTACTTTTTCATGTCTAGCTTCTTTCACTCAGCATGTTTCTAAGATTCATCTATGTTACTGTGCATTGTGTACTTCATTCTTTTTAATGGCTGAATAGTATTCCATTGTTTGATTATAATACAACTCATCCATGCAACTGTTGATAGCATTTGGGTTTCCAGTTTTCAGATATTATGAATAAAGTACTGTAAACATTTATATATTTTGGGACACATGTTTTTATTTCTCTTGAGTGAACAGAGTTGCTAGTCATAGGGTAAGTATACATTAATTTTGTAAGAAATATAAAATTTTCCAGAGTGATCATAACATTTTACATTCTTATCAGCAATATGAGAGTTCTGTTTGCACCATATCCTCACCAACACTTGGTATTCTCAGTCTTTTAAAGTTTTAGTGGTATTTTATTGTAGTTTTAAAGTAATTATTCCTGATGACTAAGATGTTGAGCATCTTTTAATGTTCTTACTAGCTATTGAAAGTTATCTTTGGAGAAAAATGTTTTAATCTTTTGCTATTTTTATTTTATTTTTAAAAATGTTTTTATTGATTTTAGAGAGGAAGGGAGGATACATAGAAACACCAATTGGCTGTTTCCTGCACACCCCTTACTGGGGATCGAGCCCGGAACCTGGGCATGAGCTCTGACCAGGAATCAAACCGGTGACCTCTTGGTTGACGCTCAACCACTGAGCCGTACCGGCTGGGCATCTTTTGCTATTTTTTAAAAAATATATATTTTATTGATTTTCTATAGAGAGGAAGGGAGAGAGATAGAGAGCCAGAAACATCGATGAGAGAGAAACATCAATCAGCTGCCTCCTGCACACCCCCCACTGGGGATATGCCCGCAACCAAGGCACATGCCCTTGATTGGAATCGAACCCGGGACCCTTCAGTCCCTAGGCCGATGCTCTATCCACT